TATCCCTGAATATTATGCTTTTTAGATGGAAGAGGTTTATTAGATGTATAGGGTAGTTTTTCTTCTAGGTTCACTTTAAAATGTACATTCCTGTAAGCGAGTTCTCCTATGTAAGTCAGCATTGATTTTAAATAATCAATTTTCTGTGACATCTTGTGGATACAACTGGTAATTATTTGTACACTAAATGTTATATTGCTATATTTTATAGCAGTTTCATTAAATAATATCTGATACATATGAATATTTTGTGTTACCTGCAGGCTTCGAAATGAGTGGGCCGAGAGGCTGAATAGAAGAATTGAAATGCTGAAAAAACAGAATGAACACAATAACACGAACGACTGAAACTTTTTTGCTATTAATATGACTAGAATAGCAAAATAATATGATATAGTGTAATTATACCTTAAAATAGATGTTTATGTGGAATTAGATTATTGAATTGAATGTCTTTAAGGAATATATGCAAATTAAATTTACATTGGTCACATATTTAATCTGATTAACTAATGCTAATCTTTAGAAATTGTTAAATTTCTGCATATTTAACCAAATTTGTATTATAGCTATAATATTTTACTAATTAACTATTTTGTGCAGATAACTAGGGATGCTACAACATGTTTTCATTGGTCCCAATACTAATTATTAAATATGGTAAATAGGTAAATATGCTGTTTGAATTTTGTGAAGCAAAACAATGTGGTTTGTTCTCATGGTTTTGAAGGATATTGGGGGAGATTTAACAAAGTCTTATGAAAGGTATCTTTTTGGGGTCACAGTTCATATTTTTTGGTCTGTTCATATCTATTAAATTGTTCTTATGTGTAATCGTTACCTAATTTTTTCTCAAAAATATCAAATGAGATGGAAAAATGTATAAATCTGTTGATTAATCAAATCTACACTGTTGTAAAAATAGGACACATTTAAAAATGACAGGGCTCAGAAGAAGCAACAGACCACAAAATGAACATATTTAATAAATTGTTTTAAAAAAAAAGAAAAACACCAAAAATGGTGCAAAACTGTCTGCGAGACTTTGATAAATACCCCCATGTTCTTGTTCATCTCTCTTTTTCTCTGCAAGACTATTCTCAATCTTCACCCTAGACTTAATTCTTGCAGAAATACTAGGCTTTAATTTATAATAAAGATATATGAGTGTCTGAAGTAAATAATTTCAGTTATCTATATAACCATGATTTTATATTGTCACAACATTTTACAGATGTTAGGGTTAGGGATTTGTAATTAGTGTTAGATGTTAAAGTTAGTGATTAGAGTTAAAGATAAGAATTAGTCCACAGGAATAAAGGGATACATCACGGTATTTCAACCACTAATAACACTCTAAACACGTATGCTTTGTGTGAATGTGTGAATGTGTGAATAACAAAGCACACATCTTTAGAGTTATTTGTGTTATATTGGCACATGCTAAAAAGACACAGAAACATATCAAATGCAATATTGTAATCAACACTCATCTAATAGCACCCAGACAATAAAAATTTGGCTAAGGCATTTTTACAACCTTATAACTAAATTGGAACTTGTTATATACCTGTTTAGTTAGATAGAAATAACTAATATGAATATGTATTTAACAAAATCATATTATGTAGAATGCATATTTTGAAACACTGTGCACTTTCATCAATATGTCTGGCCCCTTGTGTCCTATGCATTCTAGAATGCCTTGCACTCTATCAGTCTGTAGGCCAATCAGAAATAACCAAAATATCTCAACTGACTTCCTCCCAGTGGTATGAACTGAGCTGTGTGGCTCGGACATATATTCATTCGGTGAGTCTTTTTGCTGTGAGATTGTCACACATACATTGCTCATAACGTTAAACTCAGTTACAATAATTATATTGCTGTGGGGTTCTGTAATACACTCATACACATCTGACATTACTGTAAATGTCATGCCTGCAGTGTGATACATTACTGCACAGAACACAATTCACTATGTTTCCCTCCTCTAACTCCACTTGCCATCCACTCCCTCATGTCCATTCACTATTATTCCATGCTTGTCCTTCTTCATTAGTTATTTAGAATCTAGTCATCCCTCCATTTTCCCCACTCAGGTGTGCACCTCTCCCTTCATTAAAAAGTCCATCCTAATTCTCTGCCTCCTGATTCCATTTCCCCCTTTTTTCCCTCACGCCATTTCCAATACCAATTAATTATAAAATGTCTACAAAGCCTCAGCACTCTCTCCACCTCATGGATCTAAGGCTGCAACACAGTGTATCCTCCCTAAAACATGATAAATAATGTTTTTCTCTTGATGCTAGTCAACTGACAAGTCCATCCATTGCAATAAAACCCCACAATGCATTTTATTATTATTATTATGTTATTATTTATATAGCACCATCAAATTCCGCAGCGCTTTAAGATGGGTGGACAAACAGACATGTAATTGTAACCAGACAAGTTGGACGCACAGGAACAGAGAGGTTGAGGGCCCTGCTCAATGAGCTTACATGCTAGAGGGAGTGGGGTAAAGTGACACAAAAGGATAACATAACAACATCTGAGCAATAACATTTCTACATCTACAGCTGCCTGTAATTTCTATTTCCTGAATTCAATATTCACTATGGAAGACAGGTGTGATATATATCAGAGGGCATTAACGCTGAGAATGCAGCACACAGAAAGGATCAGTGATAGACAGACAAGAAACATGCTTGCTAATGCTCCTGTACAATTATCACCAACTAAAAGGTTTGGAAGTAAATTGTTGTCAGCCTACTAACTTAGAGAGAGAGAGTCACAATATTTAATGACAGTGCAGGTGTATGTTAGGGCTGGAGAGGCAATTTTCACCCACCAAATCTTCCAATGGTTCATTCTCCTACTAGATTCTAGGGAAGCCACACTCCAAGGTCGAGAAAGAGCATCGTGAAAAGGATTTGAATTAAATTAGAGGATCAATGGTAAAGAGAGAGACCACAGAAATAGAAGGGTGGAAACAGTATGAAAGGAGGCAAAAAAGCAATAGAAAGGAGGCAGGAGACCATGAAAAAGATAAGGAAGTGTGTGGTAAGAGATGATGAGAAATGCTGAGAATAGTGAGATTGAGATGGAGAGAGAGAAGAAGAGTAATTAAAAGAAGGAAAAAATATAAGGAGAATAATGGAAAAGAGAAACACAGTAATAGAAAAGATAGGATTTGGAATAAGGGAATTATATAGGAAAGAATATTAAATCTACATAGAAAAAGTGAAAAAGAGAGGTAAAATGAGTGATGGAAAACAGCAGAAAATATAGTAAAAAAATGACAAATAGGGAGAAAGATAAAAGAAAAACACGTGGCAGAGCAGCATAGCAAAATGGAAAGAGAAATGCAAAAGAAAGGAAGATAGAAAAAGAGAAACAGAAAAGAGAGGAGTGATAAGCAACTATAATTGAAAAGGGAAGGTATGAAGAGAAGAGTAGGAGAACTATTGGGAGATTAATGAAGAAACATGGGAAGTAAACAGACAATAGAAGAAGTGAGCAATTCAATAAAGAGAGATATGTAGATGAACTATAAGTAAAGTGGAAAATATTAAAAAATAAGAAATAAAGGGAAAGATAAGAAAGATAAGAAATAAGCATGCAAGAGCGATGGGGAAAAATATGATAAAATTTAGGGAGCTATAACAGGGGAGAGAGGGGAGAGACAGGAGTCATATAGACTTGGGACAGATGTGTAATATAGCTTTGGAACAGGCAAAGTGTTGAAAATGCTGATGTGAAATATAGCATGGTTACATGTGTACTATGTAATAAAGTCCATATGTGTAATATAACATTGTTACAGCCAAATAATGCAATTCATTTTAATTGTACAATATAGCATGGCAACAGGCAGACTGTGTAATAAATCATATATGTAGTATAGCATGGCTACAGCCAGACTGCGTAATAAATCATATATGTAATATAACATGGCAGCTGGTAGACTGTGTAATAAATCATATATGTAATATAGCATGGCTACAGGCAGACTGCGTAATAAATCATATATGTAATATAACATGGGTACAGACAGACTGCGTAAAAAATGATATATGTAATATAGCATGGTTACATGCAGACTGCGTAATAAATCATATATGTAATATAGCATGGCTACAGGCAGCTGTTACTAAAATGCAACTGTACTTGAAACATATGGCATTAGGTATTGGATGAAATAACTATTCCATATATTTGAAGTATTTTACTAAAAAAAAAAATAATGTTAGAAATGCTTTTAGTAATTACAGAAACATGTTATTGTGATAAAAATGTTGTATTTAATTGTTTTGTGTTCAGTACACATATTTACTGTATTCACAGCACTGTATACTCTTTGCCCAGTAGGTTCCTGGTTTGAGGTTTATTTGTTTTTTTTGTGACATGTCGAAAGCGACATGTGATTGAGAAGTAAATCCACTAAACTAGAAATTAAGAAGAAATGACAAGAAGGGAATTGTTTCGTATAGGTCAAGATGCAGAATTGGAAAAGTCTGACGTTTTTTTTTAGCTTCTCTGTTTGGGTTTGAAATTCACTTGTTATTTCTCCACAATTCACAGTTTATGGAATAAATAATACCTTAATTCTTTATTTTTAAGGGATAAGCTTATGGAAAATCCATGCAATTTGATAAAGATGAACTTTCATTACTTTACCAATCTATATACGTTTTGTGCATACCTCTTTGTTATGTGCATGCTTTTTGTACTTTAATAGTAGAACGTTGGTATTTTTGAAATGATAACCCCATCTAGTTTAGACTGGAGTTCTGGGTGCTCGCCTTTCTAGTTCTTAAGTCAATGAAAGTAGTATGTATTCCCTGAACTGGAGAACGACAAATACCATTTTATTGTCAGCATCATGGTATTAACTATGCTTATTTTATGTATAAAAATCACATAATTTAGCATGTTAAATATGCAGAGTGAAGCAGAATTGGCAAAATAAGAAACATCTTAAAAATGACTCAAAACTTTTGTAGACTATAATAAGTGTAAAAAAATTGGGAAATTACTTAACAGGGTATGCTGGCAATTATAGGATAATGTGTTTACAGGCAGAATAAGTGCATGCCTTGTAGGCAGCATAGGACACATGTAATCTATAATGTTGGCATTATTCACTAAACCGGTGTACTGGTGTTGAAGAACGTGGATAAATATTTAATCTTAAAGGGACAATATAGTCATCCAAAAAACTTTGGCTTAATGAAGTAGCATTGTGTATAGACCATGCTCCTGAAGTCTCACTGCTCAATTTTCTGCTATTTAGAAGTTAAATCACCCTTGTTTCTATCTATTCAGCCCTGGCCACACTTCCTCTGGATGTGATTCACACAGTCTACATGGTTTCCTTTGCACTGCCCAAAAAGCACCTCTAGTAGCCATCTGAGGAGTGGCCACTGGAGGTGTCCTTGGGATGTAATGTAAGCACTGCCCTTTCTCTGAAAAGATAGTGTTTCCAACAGAAAGCCCTTAGGGACTGACTATACTCACCAGAACACGTACAATAAGCTGTAGTCAGGGCCGGTGCTTGGATTTTTAGGTACATAGGCGAAGATGCATTTCGCCCCCCCACACCCCACCCCCAAAAACTTCACCTATGTGCCTCTTAACCAGCCCCTCTCCCCTCCCCGACCATTAGTGGTCCCTTCCCTTCCCTGTCCCTTAGTGTTCTTCTCCCCTCCCCCCTTTTTTCCCTGTCTCTTGGTGTTTCTCTCCCATTCCCTCCCTGTCCCTTGGTGCACCCCACACCCCTTTAGTGGTCACACTCCGCTTCCTGGTGTGCCTCCTACCTCTATTGTTGCATTGCCGAGCGGAGCAGATCCCCTAAAGGAGCTTCAGTTTCCTGTACCCGGCCGGACTGACAGGGAGTGCTCTCTCTGTGAGCACCTCCTGTCAGTCTGGCCAGGTACAGGAAACAGAAGCTCCTGTACCGCGCTCTGCTCCACTACACTCTGTACACACTGACAGTCACACACTCAATGACAAACACACAGACGTCGCTGACAGACACAGACTCATTGATCTGACACACTCATTCATTGACACTGACAGACCCACACTGGTTGACACTCATTGACTGACACACTGATAGTCACACACAGACTCAATGACCAACATACTCTCACTGATTTGACAGACACACACTCATACACTGACAAACACACTCATCATACACTGATAGACACACTCATACACTCACATGCACACACTCATACAATCACTCACAGACACACTCACTCACACACACACACACACACAGTCACTCACAGACACACACAGACGCACACAGTCACTCACACACACTGTCACTCACAGACACACGCTCAGTCACTCAGACACACACACTAGTACAATCACTCACTCACACACACACACACACACACTCAGTCACTCAGACACACACATGCACACACACACACTCAGACACACACTGTCACTCACAGACACACACACAGACACACACACTGTCACTCACAGACACACATCACATACATTCACTAATAATTTTATAAATACACATTTTCCACCCAGCCTCCCTACCTGGAGAGCTGGTGTGGATGATGGATCGGTCCCTGAGGGCTGGGGCTGCTGAGAGGCGTGCGGCAGTGCTGTGATTAGGCGCGGCGAGGGAGCTCTAATCTCCACCCTCTGCTCCCTCGCGGCTGCCTACTGATGCCGCGGGCTGCCTACTGATGACGTCATATTCCGGCTCCCGCGGCATCAGTAGGCAGCGCGCGAGGGAGCAGAGGGTGGAGATTAGAGCTCCCTCGCGCGCCTGATCACAGCACTGCGCGCGCCGGGGGTCGAGATGGTGGCCTGGCAGGAGGGAGAGCTTCCCTCCTGCCGGTCACTGAAATATTGCGCCCCCAGAGCCCGTGCGCCCTAAGGCGGCCGCCTGTGCCGCCTTATGGACGCGCCGGCCCTGGCTGTAGTTCTTCTTGTTTAGTAATTAATCTTCATGGTAATACAGTCAAACAGAAATGTACAACTGAAAACTCTGCTAATTCTCCATCCATTGTACAGTGCTTTATTTATATGTTTCAAATGTATAAGCTATTATACTATATTAAAAACATTAGGAAAATATATAAGCTGTGTGAAAATTTGGAAATATGATGCATCTTTCCGGCGCCCGAACTTTGAATCTACAACACCAGAACAAGGAAGGGTAATCTGCCCTCACAACACATCATTGGATAACGACTGTCACGTGACCGCAATTCTGCATGGCGGCGATCATTTAAAAAGAACTTTGGAATCTGTAAATTATTTTCAGCCAACTGAGGAAGCCCATACTGGAAAAACGCATTTTGGCACGTCAGGACTGGACTTAAGAGACTGTTAAGTGCTTGTCATTTTATTTTAACTGTTTTTATTATTAATTTATATTTTTCGGATTTGATAAATAAATACTAGTTTTTTAGCACTCTACTTGCCTACTTGTCCAGATTCCAGGTTTTGCACTTTATTTGTATAGCAGTACCATATCCACTAGCATTTTTTCTGTGTTTTTTCCCCCTTTTTTATGTATTCAAGTACACCAGAATCTCCATTTATTTTAATTCAATAAGGGGTAAGCAATTATTACATGTAAATACTATCAAGCACTCCACCCATTTATCGTTAAGATTCTATCTTGATAATTGTTGGTTTGGTTTCATACTTAGGTGAGGGGGAAAGGTATTCCCTCACGGGTGTCAAGAGCCACTACTACTTTTTAAACACGTCTTAAGTGCTTTCTCACACACTCAATCCTTTTGAGTCTTCTTGTGTGAAAATTTGATCACCGGTGAGTTTTTCACTATACTGCCAGTCAGTGGAAAAGTAGGGGACTTGTTCGAAGAGGGTGAGAAACACAGTTGGGGTTGGTAAATTTCCAGTTAAAGTGAAACTCTATCTTCTTAGGATTTTTAATATTATATTTACATACCTGCTATATTTAACCAAAAAATATTTTGTATGGTTAAAAAATACATTTAAATGTATAAGTCAAAGCTCTTTACCCTGCAACTGTGTGCCTCCATCTTAGCTTGGTGCCAGTCATTGTTATACGCTCTGTCTTTACACTTGGCAGTCAGCATAGAGGAAACATAAAGAAAATTTGAGAAATCATTCAATGTGTCCATTTCTCCTCCTCATTTGTATTTGTTTCCTTGGCTGTACCTGGGATAAACTCGATTTTGATCATTTGCTGTATTTTTTATAAAATTACGCATCCTATAAAAAAAATGTTAACACATACATAGACACATATACACACATACATACAGACACAAACACACAGAGAGAAACACACAGACATACATACACACACACACACATACATACATACAAACACACATACACAGACACATACAGACATACACACACACACATACATAGAAACACACATACACAGACACATACAGACAGACACACATACATACAAACACACATACACATACATACATACATATACACACATACACACACAGACAGACATACACACACACATACATACTAACACATACATACAGACACACATACAGAGAAACATTCATACAAACATACAGAAAAACAGTGGTGCTTCAGGTTGATGGGAGACAGAATTCCCACTCTGACTCCCTCCTCTGCTTGCTCCCGTGGGGCTTCCGGTGTAAGTTTGGAGGAGTGACTAGGACAGTCACTTTCTCCCAGCTGTGATGTCATCTCAGGGGGCCCGGTGGCGTTGTTAAAGCGCCACAGCGCTAACCAAATCCCTGGAAATTAATTTCCATCGGGTTCCCTAAGAGCATGGGCCACCCGATGGGTCCCTTAACATGCGGCCCCAGCGATTCTACCGTCCAGACCGGGGCTGCAACACATGGCAGTGGGTACCACGGTCGCAGGGGTCCGCACGGTGGCTGGTTCCCCTTAAGTGGCGTGACCGGTCGCAGTTGCGACCGTGGTAGTTCTGCCACTACTGAAGCTATATTGTCAATTAAGCCAGACAAGATAAAGGGTCATAAATGAGAGGATGTTATCACATTTTATATGTTTTATAAGGTTATTTACCTGAACAATTTAACAACAAATTAAAAGATTATGAATGTAGATCTAAAGCAGGTTCAGCATATAAAATAACTGTGTTATTTATTTCAGCTGTGGATACAATAATACAAGGTAACAAATAAAAAAAATATATATATAGGAAGCAAAGACTAAAAAGGAATCTTTTGCGTTAGTAACATCACTACATCACTGCAAATTTGTGATTTATGTGGGAAAAGCAAATCTTATGGCTTGACTGGTGTGCAGATTTTTGTTTAACATTGTAATATATATATATATATACATATATTTCTGTAACTCACTAAATGAATTCAAGAATGTAATCAATACTTGCATCTCCGTTGCCCCACAGGGGCTGAAATCTTAAACTTAGTTAAACTAGCACAAATCACACAGATGTACCTGTAGTTACAAATAGGTACATTAGATTTACAATATCCTGCTCACACTGTTCATAATGCTACATCTTGTTTGAAGTCTTCAATTTAGGACAGCTTTTGTTTCTATACCTTGAACACTATTCATTTTTTCTGTGTTTTTCCCCCCTTTTTTATGTATTCAAGTACACCAGAATCTCCATTTATTTTAATGCAATAAGGGGTAAGCAATTATTACATGTAAATACTATCAAGCACTCCACCCATTTATCGTTAAGATTCTATTCTAAAAATTTTCTTTATTTTTAAAGTTGACCTGAATTTTCTTCATTACCTGAGACTTTAGAAGAATGTCCAGTGGGTAGTGCACTTTTAGAAATTACACATAAAAAGGAGTTTAACTTAGAAGAAACTAAACTACAACTGCAAATACAGCTGCAGAAGTGAGTAATATTAGGTTGGTTGCCAGTGAGCAGTATGTGTTAGATATAAAAATCACACAAAACATTCAAAACATTACATAACAGAGAGTTACAAATAGTTGTTGCCTATATTGCAGGTGCATCAGTCATAAAAACTGCCAAATGTTTCTGTCAAGTGGAATAATCTCACAAGTGATGGCAACATATGCCACACATCGACAAATTGCATTGGCAAAGAGTAACAGTGTCCCAATGACAGGAATTCACAGGATATCTGTTAAATGCCACAAATGTACAGCTTCAAAAATTAGCACAGACCTGAATTAACATTTTTGTAACTTAGACAAAAGCTGAATGTTGAAATTTATAGAAGGGCTGCCGCGCAGAAATTTCTTGTATTTAAGACCAAAGCATAAAATGCATAAAATGATATATTGAATACAAAAACAGGACCCACAGGCAATAAAAAAGTAATATTAACTAATAAGTCATCTTTCACCTTTTTTTGATCTGTTGATGGGTTTATGTTTGAGAAAGCTAAATAATGCCTTTAACATTTTAGTGATGGCCAGTGTAGCCTGTAGTCAGTTGTTTAAAAGTTTCCTAAGCCACTTGTATTGATGATCACTGCAAAATCAGGCAATCACTGGATGCCTAATGAGTGATGTAACCCAGAAGAGAGAGTTCTCTGGAGGAAGCCACATTCTTATTACTTTATGCTGTATCAGGGGTCTCTAGGAATATTGCTTCTTTTCAAATCTAATGTGTACAACTCAAAGCATTCAAAATAATCTGCTATGACAGCCTGCCACAACAAATCAGTTGCCTCAGTACATGACTTAGTGAAAGAGATAGACACGTCCTGTGTTTCTAAAAATCTCACAAGAAAGGCAGTCCAGCAATAAAAGTTAATTGGCTCTCAGGCACTGTGATCTCTGTGGGTGTTAATATTGACTGCAGATCTTGAATCACAGCTAAGGCAGCTCTTAAAATGATGACTCTTTATTTGTTACCAAGTGTATGGTTGAATGTTTAAGACAGAGGCAAGTTCTGGAGTAGTATTAGGGATAGTGCTTGAGTTGAAAATGGATTAAGGGGATAACATCAACCAGAGAGACTCATGAGCCTTAGGGCTGCATGTGAGCTAATTTATGGAATGAAAATGACTTTAGTGATATTAGATTTGGATAATGCACCCTGTCACACTGCAAAAACTTTTCAGAAATGGTTTGAGGAACACGACAAAGGGTTTGAGGTGCTGCCTTGCAGGACTTAAAGGATCTGTTGCTAATGTCTTGATGTTAGGTGCCCAGGGGACACATTCAGAGATCTTATGGTGTCCATGCCTCAACACATCAGAGCAGTTTTTGCAGCACAAGGAGTACCTACTCAATATTAGGCTGGTAGTTTTAATGTCGTGGCTGACCGATGTATGAAGCATTTATCAATCAGGACTGATAGGGGAATTTAGTTTGAGTACTGTTTCCCTTGGTTGAACCGGACGTGTAAAAATTATAATATGCAAAAAATGTTTTTAAAAAAATGCATGTATTTTTCAGTTTTTCCAATTTTATTCCCAACAATCTCTGTTTTTTAAGTATTTTTCTTTACAAAATGAAAAACAAAATACAAAATCAACATCTGAGGGTAGTACAATTTAAAATAAGTTTTTTTCTGGCTTCATCTGCTTATGTTCATTTCTATAGACAGGGTACTTGATCAGAAATAAGCATATTGTTAAGCATATTCTACCCATTTTCTTATCCCTTCCTTTTTGTCTTCTTTTTGCTTACCCATCTATAAAGCCATGCACCCGAAATACACAAACCACAAGAATTTTTTTAAATATATATATATATATATATATATATATATATTGTTCCCTCCCCTTGCTTTCCTCTAAGTTCAACTGGATCCACAACTGTCCATCCCAAGGGCATGTACAGTTGCACATATACATCTATAACTACATGAACATATATACATACCCTCATATAAACATACATACATGCACATGTTCATCATTTACCTCCTATATTCTAATGTTTTATTTTTCAAAAACATTCTTATTCTATCATATCTAACTTGTTTCTATTTTCCTTCTTTTATTTTCCCGGTTATATTTCTCCCAGATCCCATCTCTGTGTAATAGTAATGTGAAGATTTCTCTTTATAGTGTGCCTCTCCCTTTTCTTTTACTTTCCTTTTTCCATCCATTGTCCTTTTACCACTGAGATATGAACTTGTGCCATAGACTCCAAGTCTGGTTGTGTTTGTCACTAGCATTTGAAAGAGTTGTGTTCCTAGATTCTGCAGCTTCAATCCCACCCACTTTATCTAGCCAAGTCTGTACAGTAGGACATTCCCTAGATTTCCAAATCTTAGCAGCATTTAAAAGGAATCTTA